TTGCTTAACGATGCAGCTTAATGCTGCTCTGCTGACAAAGAATCAAAACCAACAGTTGTTTGCGTGATACCAAGCCTGACTGACTTTTAGCAAGGAAACGCTTTGACCCGTGCTTACATGCACCGACCTGCATTACTGTGCTGAATATATCCGCACAAACATTGAAATTCTCACACAAACAGGAGATTATTATGGGAAGTGTGAGATCCAGTGTTTTTTGAGCTTGAGTATTACTGGCAGCTAAAAGACAGGATATCTTGGCTTCTGCCATCCCTGTCCCCTTAAGGCATCCAACAAACTCAAGTCTTTACTTTCAGATGCACAACTCGACTAGTGCATGAATTCAACTGCTAGGTTTTCAGCTTGACTTAGGCGTCCCTATATGGAAAGCTGATTTCCAGAATAACCACACTACAATACGTCTTAAAGCTTCAGAATGTAAAAAAATAGATAATAAATGAAAAGAAATTAAAGTATCCCCACTAGTGGTTAAAATGCCAAATAATCATTATTTGGCATTTTGAGACAATCGGCACTGTCCGATGTCAGTGCTCACAGGCCGATAAATAAAAAATGTCACATTTGGACGCAGCCATGTCAGTGTGGCAGTTGTGGAACAATGTTAGTGCTCAAAGGTTAGTTTCGAGCCCTGTATTATAACTGTCATGCATCCTGCTGTAAACATATGTCAGAATTTCCTGTAAAATAGAAAAGAATTGTACATTGCTTTTCTTTGTTTTAATATTGGCATAATATATCGGCCATTGGCAACCCTGCTCTCTAAATATAGGCATCGGACATTGAAAATCCCATATCGGTCGACCACTAATCCCCTCACTTTATCTATTGCACCAAATTTATTGTCAAAGCTCTCAGTTTAGGGTAAGATGCTCTGACAGTCTGTTTGACCAAAGGTGTGGACAATAAATTGTTGGCATTGGAGATAAGAGTACAGTTGCTTTGACTTATTTTTGTTTACCATATAGAAAAATGAAAACACTTCATTCTTCATTCCTGAATTCTTGTTGTAAAAACTCCAAAGGATACATTAACAAGGCAGTGCAGTGAAACAGAGAATCAGGAATTTTTCACACTTATTATGTTCAACTTAAGCCTAAATTTAATTAAACTTTGCTTCAGCAGATCAGAGGAATCTCTACCAAAATATCATGTTTTACAGCTGTCTGAAACACACTCGTGCTCAGTGTGCGAGAAGCAGAGAGCAGATGAAGAGATCAGAAAAAAATTGAAGGCAATGGAATAAGAGCAAAGGAGTAAGAGGGACTGATGGGGTGCTAGAAAAAGAAAGACTGAAGATGTCGGCGGCAGGTTAAAATGATTGAGCTATTTCACTCTGGAAGGCAATTAGAGCTCAATTAATGTCATTTATCTCCTGCAGACAGTGCATCACTGGCCAAGAGGGGAGAGCATCACTGCAGGCATCTGTACTATCAAACCATGATGACAGACAGAGGTCTAACTTGACATAAATATACGCATACACACATAAATCTGGGATTCATTTTCTATTCCCACATGAAGAGGTTTGCTACGAAAGCCAGTAGGACCAAAATAAATGAGATACATTTACACTTAGATGTCTGTCAAGTTTCAACTAATGTAGCAGATGTGTCAGCAGCATGAAAATATTCATGTAATTATATTAAAACACACCTAAATATACAATAAATATGCAAGTGTACTCCTGTTTACTATCTCTGGGTGGCCACAGTGAGTGTATAAGGTCTTCTTCTTCTCTTCCATGTTGCCTGTGTCTCCCTCCTCTTGACAGTCTATTTCACCCTGGTCACTCCACTCTGCTCTTCTAATGATTTATTGTTCTATTTCTTCTCTCCATTTGCTCTTTGTGTGTCTTTTTCACCATCACCCTGCTATCTCACACTGAGATCTGCTACTTGTGTTTCCCTTCAGTCACGCACTTTGAAGAACACTGTTATTTACTATCTTAGCTTAGGGAATTAAGTGCAGTGTGCTTTTAATTTCACACGGTGAACGTGAGTGCGCTGACAAGAAGGACGAGCAAACTCAGCCATCAGTAATCGATACAGCCACGTGCAAGGCGGTTACTGGTGTATATTAGGTTTCTGTCTTTTGTTCACTATTATGTACAGTGCTCAGAAGGCACACAAAGGCGTCAGCTGGGAAGATTAAAAAAGGGGTGTGGCCAATCAAACCATTCAAAATATTGTTCGTTCTAATTAGGAAAATACAAATAAAGTCATTATTTACATTCCTTAGAAACAACTGCTATTAAAGTTGCTTGGGTAAATGTGATTAGTTTAGTTACTGCAGTGACATTTTGCACATCTATTCAACATCTGCCACACTTCAGTCTAGCCAATTATTAACAAGGCAAGTTAAGTATATAATAAAAATGAATTAACATAACAGCTAGAATAATTTGAATTGCCAGTGAAAAATAAACACTTGGAACTATTTGTGTTACAGAATAACTGTCAAAACACATTCTCAGTCCTTCAAAATGCTTGCCAATCAGAAATGTAGCCATGCCGTCCTTTATATAGACTAAACACAATGATTTTCACAAGCAAAAGGTCTTAAAATCATTAATTTGTGTTCAGAACAAATCCAACACAGACAGAAGCGTTATTGGAACTCTCATGAGCAGCTTTTATATAAATCATCTGTGCTTTTCCTACACTGTTGTTGTCCTGTAATAGCCTCCACAAGACTTTATTGTATACCAAAGGTAAATAAGACTTCTCAATCAACTCGTCAGATCAGAGGTACAGCTTCCCTCAACTACGCTGCAGTATCTAGCTGGAGAGTGACACGTGTGGTGGAATATTTCCCCATCAGCAGCATCAAAGGTTCTCTATAAATACATTTCACTGATGCAAACACACAATGACCCATATGCAAAGAAAACACACAGGCTTCCACCATGAGAGTGAGTAGAAATGGGAAATATGTGAAAACAATTGGGATTCACAGCAGGAATTCTACTGTACATGGAAAGGAGAAGGAAACGTACGTGCAACACATGCATACACAGCCAGAAAACATCACAGGAAAAGTGAGCTTTAACTCTTTTTAATCTTCTGCATGTTTGTACAAAAAAGTTCATTTTCATTCAACAGTCCTGTGAAGATGAGTTAGTCAGTACTTTAAAAATTGTTACCACATATTTTTAGAGTATTTAATTAACAGTAGTGTCAGTTGAGATGACAGATTGTTTTGTTTGATTAAGACAACAATAAAATTGTGGGGGTTTTTGTAAAATATAGTTGTGTTACCTTGCGACACCATCCTCTTGTAAATCAGCATTCTCAACATTTGACTTAGTTTTTCATTTTACCAACTAGGCTACATTCTCCCAATGATGTTATTTCTCTACCAGTTGTTCACAAATTACATAATTACACTTACTAAAAAATAACACTGCAACAGAGTTTTAGGCCAAAGTAAAAGTTATATTTAATACATTTACATATTATGTGACATACTGTGTGTTCGAAAGAATATCATGAATTAAGAGAATTGAGAAAGTATGTAAAAGTGGGAAGAGGATAATGAAAGAGAATGTAATAAGTGTTGCATGGCAACAAAGTGAGTATTATGAGGGAACATAAAAGTAATGTGAGCAAACTAAAATATTAAAGAAATGTTAAGCAAGTCTTTCATTAAACTTTAACAACTTTCACAGAGGCTGTCACACAGCAAACACCTCTTGCCAGGTAGAAAAAAAATATTTTGCAGCTCTTAATCCCACAGATTTGATTTGTAATTGGTAACAAACAGCTCGATCCCTTCATTCACAGGATCAGCTAATGCAAACAGACAGTAGTTTGACATTAAACTAATTGAGGCTACAACCATCACTGGAGAACATGCTGCTTTAGTGTTCAACTGGGAGAAACCCACCACATCTTGTCATCCCCTCTCATCAACAAGAGAGCGCTGATCGAAACAGGCTTTGTCACACATGGCAAGATATTACAAATCATACAAGTATTTGTAGATTTGAGAACCATAACTTTGATTATATTGGAGGAAACTATATCAAAGAAAATGGAGATAGCTTTGTGAACACTTTGCTACACTGTGACACCAATCATACTTAAGGTTTAAGATTTACATAACAGCAGAAGCCAGGCAGAGAAAATGCAAAAATCCTACCAAGCTCGAAAAAACATAAATTTCGACTGTTTATAACGTCTTTTTAATGAGGTTAAATAAATGCAAATGAGCCCTAATAAACAATCCTTTGAAATCATGGTCTCATGGGGATATGACAGTTCAAGACCAACTAATGATGTGCAGAGTGGAATATGCTTTTCTGGATAAAACATTAAATGTCAAAACACTAGTTGGCGAGCTGAGCCATTGCTCTTAAAAATGATCAAACGGGCCACCTTCATGTCAAGCGTGGCGCATACATGCGACTGAAGCTTATCAACAACCTCTGTTGGTCCCTGGAAAATGGGAGACTTGGAGGATCAAAATTGCTATAAGCCCACTTCCACCAAAGCAAATCACTGTAGGGCTGTCTTTTCTAACCAATATATTAGATTTACTTTTCCTGTTGTGTTGTCTGATTGTTACTGCACATGTCGAAAAAGCCAAAATGGTCAAGAGCTGCTGGAGTGATTTGCCCCAGTCCCACGGACGCTTTACACCCAAAGATGCAAACAAGCCATTAAAATCACAGGTCCGGAGGTTGTTTTCAGCCCCCTCATAAGTGCTGGTCTGACAATGAGGTGATCTGTTATTGTCGCCCCCAGTCCGGAATCCAAACAGGTTTGGACTGTCTTGTGCCTACACTACAGCCCACCATTTGTTTCATTTTGCAGAAGACTATAACCCACTGAAAGCCAAGATCCCTTCCAATCACAGTTGTCTTGATTTAAATATATGCTCATATATTGGATTTGTAAAAATGGTTTTAAAATCATGATACAGATTTTTTTACTTGAAATTTAAAAAATGAGTGCTGTAACCGAGTGTTTTAAACTTACCAGTTTGGTGAGTGGGAATTCCCTTTACATCCTACTGCAGGTGTTGGTGCGCTGCGCTATCTCCAACGCTGGACCCGGATTCACTCCAGCGCTCTCCAGGACAGCCGACCGTCAGCCAAAAACGTGACCAGAATAATTTGCCTCCGTTTTGTCATAAATATTACAGCGGGAGGGGGGAAAACCCTCCACGGCTGCAGATACAGAGCGCAGCAGTGCCTGGTGCCCGCTCACAAAACATCTAATATCACAGTGGTCAGGCGTTTTTCTTTTAATTCCCTACTCAACACGGCACGCTACTCCTGTCCACTTTTACGCAGCGGACTTGTACAGCATCCCACACACTGACCGGCCAAACGCATGATTATGCGCTAACCGCTCGCTGGAGCGCAGTCGCTCCATCCCAGTGACCAATACCGTGATCTGCAAGCAGAGGGGGGAGGATGGTGAGGGGGGGTTTGTTAGAAGGGGGAGGAGACAGGGGATGCGGGAGGAGGAGTGGGGGGCTGTGGTGTGTGTGCGTGTGTGATGGGTAGCCTTTTACAAGGACGACCTGAGATTCCTCAAGGGTGAACGCTCTTCTGTAGTAATTCAACGAGATTTCCCAATTACCTGCGCCCCCCCCCCCCTCCCCCCTCTCTCAAAACATATTACACTCACTTCACCTGATCTCCCTCAAAGGAAAATGCCTGGATTCAGGCTTGACTTGATCATATCAGTCTCCCCCCACTGTGGAGGAGTCGTTTGGAGGCTTCTCTATATGCTTTGCTGCACACTGGAGGCTGTACAAAGAGTGTCTGCCCTGCTCATGTCAGACTCTAAATGTGGCGACTTCATTGCCGGAGGAGGATGGGCTGGTTAAAGAGCAGTTTCATGAGGCTTGAAGCCATATTTTACCTGGGATTATCGTCTCATTGTAAGTTGTATCCTTCCACCTGCTGATCAATGAGCACCCTGTCACCATGAGCTGTGGGCAGGGATGAAGGTCACTGACTGTCAAATTTGTGACCTTGGTCACCCAATAAATATAAGGTCCTTGTCACTGTAATTCTCACACTGATTTACAGACTGTTGTCTTAGCGAGGGGGGTAAATTACTGCGCAAGTGAATATGTGAGATAAACTGTGCAGAGGGAGGTTTAGATAAAAGGTGTGAACACCTGCGGTCTTCTAGGAGAGACGGGGCAGCTGATGTCAGCTGTTCACTGTTCATGAAATCCCATAGTGGAATGTGTGCTAAAATAAAAAAGAAATGCGCTAATTAAAACTTCATACATTTGTTTTTCCCAAATGGATGCATTATAAAACCAGACAATGAATGTTAAACCTATTTTGAATTGGTAAATGGGTACTAGAACCTGTTACTCTTGTATCTGCAATTTCCATGTTTGACCCTTGTGTGCCAATAAACAGATGGTGGAATAAATTGCCGTTTATATAACCTTGAACTAAAAAACCTTTTATGCCTGTAAAACTAAATTATATCAGCATAGACCCTCCTGCACCCCCCTCTACTCCAAAGTATTTATTTTCCATCCTAATCTGGACTGTATTTTTTACTTTACTTGCATTTTTCTTGTTGCTATCAGTGTAATTATTATCTTATACATCATCATCATCATCATCATCATCATCATGTATAAGTTATGTGTCCTTCAGTTTTATCTGCAGTGAGTGTGTAATGTTTAATGCAATTGTTTGACACTTTGGGAAATAAGCTTTCATGCAGAGTGTAGGATGAGAAGCTATATAGCACTCTCATATCTTTCTGATAAATATACATTATAGCCATTTAGCTTAGCTTAGCATCTAGACTGGAACCAGGGGGAAACATCTAGCCTGGCTCTGTCTGACGGTAATGAAATCCACCTCCCAGCACCTCTAAAGCTCACCAATTAACACCTTACACCTCGTCCGTACAAAATCTCTCTCGCACTATTTCTTGCCATGGAGGAGTACAAGTATCCGCTGGTTGCCTGGCAACCTTAAGACTACAAGTCACCACATAACCCTCTTTGGTTTTCATACAGATTGAACAAGAGCGGTATTAAGGGTTAGTGGTGAGCTTTAGAGGGACTAATAGGTGGACTTTGTTACCTTTGAGCTGAGCCAGGCTAGCTGTTTCCCCCTGCTTCCAGCCATTATGCTAAGCTAAGCTAACTAGCTGCTGGCTTTAGCTGTATATATACCATAGTAACATTAGAGTTGTGTTCTCATTGGTATGAAAGTGAGTACCTGTATTTCCCAAAAAACTATTTATTTAAGAGCTTGAATATTGTAACTATATATATATATATATGCTAGCTTTACATGTATTTTGAATATGATATGTAATGTAATATAATATGCAGGCACAGGTTTGGTTCAGGGTGGGCTGACCGATGATAGCCTCATATATGTGTGGATTAAAAAGATATGTGTAAAGGTAAGGCAAAATCTTGAGAGGAAAAGATTGTGAAACATCATGATTTTCTAAACAGTCCTAAACACAAAGATTTTAGCAGTTTTTCTGCACATTTGTCACCCCCCTAACCAACTTCACACTCCACCCCCTCCGTCACTATATTTTCTCTGTAGCCCACCTTTTCCCTTTCACTGCGCCACACATTTTACAGGACAGAGGCCCCCCTGTGAACCCGCAGTGTCATCTTTTTTTTTTGACAAACACAAAAACACAGTGAATTGCCCTTGCTACCGATCTGAATCTCTTGTGAAAACAGTAACATACAAATGCAAACTAGCCAGTGATTAGGAGCATCTGCCAAACACCCACATACCATATGCCTGTGTCACTCAGCCAAGGAAAAATACAGAAACACATCTAAACATGCACACATGATACTAGAAAGCAAATAAAAACATTGTTGACAGAAAGGCTCAGAAACTGACACATGTGCATGCAAATTTGCAGAAACGGTTGAGACATACTGCAGCCTAAACATCAAGATGGCATAGTGATAAACACAGAGGTCCACATTCAAGTAGAGCAAGAATCAGCACCACATAAAGGGAAATTGTCCTCAATATATCATTCATTTGTAATTTTTAGCGCAATCCAGCAGCTTTCTTACTGTTTTAATGCATACACCTTTTCTTGCATCTAGCTGGTATTCCATCGCCTCATCTATTTTACTGATTTCCTATATTTCCCAGAATGCCTTTCAGCAACACCAAGACGAGTGACACGAACCTGCTGTATGCAGCCATGTGGTTAAAGAGCAGCAGTAATAGCAGAGCAGAAGGTTTTTTCAGACTCCAAATGCAACATGTGAGTCTATGAAGAATCTCATAACTCTTCTTCCTCTGCAGAGGATTTCTTCCCATATGGTTGTTAAATGTCAGTACAAAATGCTAAGGCTAAAAAGAATCCCCCTGCTCTTTGATTTTATGTAGTGATATCAAAATATGACCCTTCTCTCGGATGTGTCAGAGGAGTGAACATTTTTCTGTCAACGCTCATTGCTGCTGTGCTCGAAACATCTCAAGTTGTCACCACCGAACCACAATATGCTTGTTAATTTTTGATGTCAGTATGTAAAGTGGAAACTAAAGTCCTACAAGATGCAATAATGTTTTTTCTGTCGCCAATAATGTGTAGTACTGTGACCTCCCTGTTCCATCCCTGGAGAGGGATTATCAATAAAGAATCAGATCAGTTTTCTCCCTGTGGCTCAGTACGTGGTCACATTTCCAGATCAATGTTGAAATGTAACAGAGCGATAATATGCTTTGGCTTGTGTATTTACTGTAGCCTCTGTAGTGGGGGTTATTGAGTACGTCCCTGTGTCCTATCTGACAGCATGCCTGGCAGCGAGTGGGTCTGTGTCTCCGTCTGTCCTGCGCAGCATCAAAGACCCCGGCAGAACCTCTGGCAAACCTGGACACATGTCAAAGCCTGGGGCCCGGCCTGGCTTCAGCCCCACTGACCAGTCAACAGAAAGAGGGAGGGCCTGATATCACCAAAGCCACCGCTCACAACCTCACACAAATGCTAGACTGCACATGTAGTTAGTTACCTTTACCCACTGGTTCCCAAACTGGGGTGTATGTAACAAGTAACATTGTTGCTTCATCCTTTCACATCCTTTGCTGAAACCAAGTCATCGTTATGTTATGTTATCTGTTACACCTGTGCTTTTCCTGCTATGACAAGTCAAAATGTGTGAAAAACATCTATGAATCCTATTCATTTGATAAAGAAACAAAGTGCTCCCATGCAAAAGCTGAGTCCTTACCGCAGCAGCCCCTCAGTTCCAACCTGTGACCTTTTGCTGCATGTCATCCCCTCTCTCTCCCCCCACTTTCCAGTAACTCTTCAGCTACTTAAATAACGGCAAAGAAAAGCCCAAAAAATAATCTTGAATAAAAGTCTACAGACATGCGAGTGGCTCCGAAGCTCTACTTGAGTACATCACTGCTTTGAGGTAAATGCTCACACTAGCATGCTAATGTGCTCACGGCGTTAATGCGATGTTAATGTTTAGCAAGTATATTGTTAACCGTCTTATTTTGCATGTTTGCAGGCTAACATTTGCAAACTAGCAGTAAAATACAGCTGAGGCTGAGGGGAATGCTATTCGTTTTGCAGGTATTTGTTCGAAAATCAAAGTTTGGAATTTAAACTCAATGGTGGCACCAGATTAAAAGGCCAGGGGATCAAAGTGTTTACAATTCATTTTGTGTCAGTCCATCATGTAGATGTTGACATAATTAACTGAATAGCTGAAAACCTGATGGTGTTGCTGGATAAAAAGCCACCAAACTAATGTATACTGTAAGAACCATAGTTGTGTGTAAAAAATCCAGCAATCCATCAAAGAGTATTCAGGATATTTCAGTCTGAACCACAATTGTCAAATGAGGAGGAAGGAAAAAAAGGAGGCTGATACCCCTTTATTTTCCCAAGCTCTGGAAACTGACTTTTAAGTCCATAAAACCGGTATTAAATATGTTGAGAATATAATTGGTCTACGTTGAAGCACTGATTTATATTCAGACGCAGTTAGGCGTGCCCTTGAATGCGAAAGAAACATGCTGTGGACACATACTTATAGCTGACCTTATTATAGTCATAGACAGAGAGATGGCCAGCTGGAGTGTCCCATAAAACTGAGACAGTGCAAATTAAAATGTCACGATGCTTCACCAAGTCACCCACTGACTCAGCTACACTTCCTGCTCAAATGAAAGGCACTCGAACATATGAGGTGAAATTTATCAGACAGACCTGAGAGGAGAGGGATAATAAGACCAACGTATACGAGGAGCTCACATTCAGCTGATAAGAAGAGCAGACGGACGTGCTTTGATTCAGATGAGTAAAAAAATAAAATAAGCAGAAGAGTTGACACAAAACTGGTACAAAAGAAGAGAAAATTAACCATCAGACTGTGCAACCTGATAACCGTTAACATGAGATGGTAC